TAAGCATATGCTTAGGGTGACCAGACAGCAAATGTGAAAACTCGGGACACGGGATGGGGGGTAATAGGAGCCTATATAAGGCTCTGGAAAAGTTATCCTTGTCCCTTTCCCCTTCTGGGCTCTTCTCTTTGTTTCTATGGCTGTTCTGTGTGAATTGCTTAACATTTGGTTTGATGATCTGCGGAAAATTAACACATCCACTCACTGCTCAGGTCTGGTCTTCAAAGGAAGCACTAGATTGGGAGGGTGTTTTCTGAGGGTGGAGGAATGGGAGCTGGAATCAATAGCTTTTAGCAGACTCATAAATGTTTCATTTGTATTCCTCAGTTTGGCCAGGGGCGCTGGAACAATTTGTATTGTGGGGGTGCTGAGAGCCGTTGAACCAAACTGTAAACCCGGCGTATAATGGAATCCGCTTCCAGCACTGCTACCCTGTTTCCCCGAAAATAAGACATCCTCCGAAAATAAGGCCTACTTACAGTTTTGCCTCTCGTTGTAATATAAGGCATCCCCCCGATAATAAGACCTCCCCGATAATAAGGCAAAAAAATGTGTACCGTATTCTTCTTCATTGAAAAATAAGACATCCCCTGAAAATAAGACCTAGCGCATCTTTGGGAGCAAAAATTAATATAAGACACTGTCTTATTTTCGGGGAAACAGGGTAGTTTCAGCATCTCTGAGTTTGGTGCTGTAAAATTGTGTCACCAGAATCCACGTTAACCCTTAGAAATTTGTACTAGCCCTGAGGTGGGTGTAGAATAAGCATCCTGATGATGCTAGAACATTTCCCCTTGCAGCTCAGCTCAACCACTTAATAATGTGATTTCCTGCCCAGTTCTGGAGCCCTGCATTGAAAATGGCCTCTGCTCACAAGTCAAATGAGTATTGCGGCCTCAGCCTGGGACCTTGGGGATATTTGCGAGGAATCTGAGAATGTTGAATACAAATATAATCAATAGCGGCATGATTTGGGTCAAAGATCCCACAGCCGCAGCGACTCTGCGTTATTTACGTTGTACTGTTTGGGGACTGGGAAGTCTCGGGGCCTATAACTTGGCCCATTTACGTCTGCCCTGCAGAACGCTGTAAGGGAGAGGCAGAAAACACACAACTCAAAACATAAATAAATCCTAATCAATAGGAATAATTCTGTTTGAGGCATTGGAAAGTGTCTGAGCAGCTTGTGGTTAAGCCTGTGTCTGGCTTATCTGCAGCCAGGCTCTGTGAAGCATGGGAGTGTTGAACTGCTTCAGAGTTTCTGGGAGGTCAGTGTCTCAGCTTTGTGTCCTGTGGGGCTGCTAACCTGCCATTGGCCTCGGAGAGGTCACCGCCTCTCACCCACAGTGGGTTATTCAGAATTCCTTGCTTGACTCCTGCCCTGTAAATCACAGGGTGTGCTATGCACTCTCCCTCTCATGAAGCCAGCAAAGCATGAGTACAGGACCCACTTGTCATCCAGGGTTTGTTGACTCTTCCGACATGAGCTGCGGATTTGACTGTCTCCCCTGGGTTGGATGTCTCAGAGCCTAGCAGCTGACTCGGAACCCTGAGCTCCATTAGCAGTGTTGAGACCGTACTCTGATCTAGCTGACTTGCGAGGGCAGGGACCTGTTGGCTTCATGATGAACAGAGGATTTTATTCATTCAGTGTTTTTCCAACCCTTGCGATACTTGGTGCTTTTTCTTAACGTCCCAACTGCTGGAATCGAGGGGTGTCATGAGAATCTCACTCTTTCCTCCCTCTCCCCCCGGGAAAGCTAAGTTTCTAACCTTGGTGATTACAGAGAAAAGCTTGACAATGTGAGCTGAGTGCCTGCTCAAGGCTCATACAACTAGAAGGCAAATAAAAAGCTCCCCAAATCATTCCTTTAAACCAACATTGTTTTATGGTTTCATGATTTTGGGGCCTGACTTATGGTGTAACCTTGTCCCTAGCTAAAAAAGCAGAACAATAATTACAGAGAGAGGTTTTTAGGGCGGAAGAGGTGAAAAAGAGAAGAGCAGCTCTGGTATGGAGGTGTGGGGGTGGTGGTCATAGTTGGACACTACTTTAAAGTTAACAAGTTTGCTTCTGAATTAGGTCTGCCTTCCCAAGATCCTGATACTTGCCCAGTTTGTTTCTGTCTTCACTCCCAGCAAAATCTAATTGAAGAAGAGCAATCTATTTGCACTGCGTGCAACCTTTACAGCCCTTACCAACTGTCTGGAAACCACTGTCAGACGCAGCCTGTGGATATGCATTTAAAGAGCAAATATCCCTGTACTTTGGAGCAGTGTGAACCCAGATCTGCATCTGACCTTTGCAACTTGGCCCCATTTCTATCTATCATGTTTGGACTTATCTGCCTGCTCCCTAAACCCAGACTCTAGCTGTGTGTGTGTTTTGTTTTCTGGCAAAATGAAATAAAACAATGCTTGACTTTTGGTAAGACAGTGTCACCTCTTAATGTTTGTTACAAGCCCTTAATATCAGACACTGGGGATGCAGGGGGGGGGGTGCTGTAGCAACAGGATGTTTGTAATGGGATGACATCAGGATGGCAGTTGTGGGGTTTTGTTTTGGGGCTTTGACCCGTGAGCTGGTTGCTCAATGAAGTAAAGGGGGGTGTGGTTTGTCAGACTGAAGCTGCATCTGTGCGGCTGCAGACTTGTCTGTCTGTCTCTCTAAGCTCTATTCTTTAGCTCTTCTTATATTCTTTGCAACTGACAGACTGGCTTTTAGTGACTTGCAATTTCTCTCTTAAACATGTTATTTTCCAGCAACGCTGATGGATGTGCCTTCGGCATTTCCTTTGTGAATTATGGACTAAATTTTCCAGTCTAAGCCTCTGTTTTTTGTATGTTTACAACATACAAATCAATCAGTCAGCCTACCGATTACCTGATTTACACTTTCAGAATAGGATCATTTGCATAGTTGTGCCTGTGCATTGGATGTAGGTGGAAAAATGCAGACTGACTGAAAATGCAGCCTTGGATATTTTAATTCCAGTGTTTCTCAAACTGGGGTTGCCGCTTGTGTAGGGAAAGCCCCTGGCAGGCCAGGCCGGTTTGTTTACCTGCCCCGTCCGCAGGTTCGGCCAATCGCGGCTCCCACTGGCCGCGGTTCGCTGCTCCAGGCCAATGGGAGCTGCTGGAAGCTATGGCCAGGACGTCCCTCGGCCCGCGCCGCTTCCAGCAGCCCCCATTGGCCTGGAGCAGCGAACCGCGGCCAGTGGGAGCCGCGATTGGCCGAACCTGCGGACGGGGCAGG